TTCTCATATGGTTTTTTTAATAGGTTTAATAACTTTGTATGCAAAAAAAAAAAAAATTTGTTGTTAACTGTAACCAAATTTGTTTTCTGTTACTAAATATTTTGATTTTTTTTTTTTTTTTTTTTTTTTTCAATTTTTGTCAAGCAACTATTTACAATTAAAGATAATTTCCGTAAAATATTTAGAAATAATAAATACAAGTGCATTTCATTATTTATAATAGTTACAAGACCGGAGAACCTGAAGAAGATAAAGTCTTTTCATCAGTAACCTTTGATAATAAAAATTGGGAATAATCGTGTATTGTTAGAAAAATCATGTAAAGAATCAATTGGCAATAAGTTCGATTATGTTCTTTTTAAATTTTTGAGAGGTATTGGCTTTTTTAAGTTTACCACTCAGACTTGTAAAATGGTTCCATAGCATTGAGCTACGATAGGAAATGGCAAAGCTCGTAAGTTTTGATGAACGGAAAGGTTTTTTAAATCTTCCGGTAGATCGCGTGTTGTATCGGTTTAATGTTTTATGGAAAATATTTTCGAAAACCTTCGGCGTTTTTTTTGACTGATGTTGAAACATAAATTGTGTAATTTTGAAAATATTTAACTCATAAATAGCAAGTGCCCTAATGCTTTTTAGAAGAGGTTTAGCATTTGTGAAGCGATTTTGAAAATGAATAATGCGTGCTGCATGATTCTGTTGTTTAAGGAGACAGTCGAGTTTAGATTTATTTGTACTACCCCAAACAATATTGCCATAAGATAAATAACTATTTATGAATGCAAAATATAGTTGAGTTAGTGTAGATTTGTCTAAGATTCGTCTGGTTTTATATAAGATGCCAATACTTCTTGAGATTTTATTGCTAATATGATTTATATGAGCTCTCCAAGATAAGTTTTCGTCTATTAAAATACCAAGTAACTTATTTGTGAATGAGCGCTCAATATTGATGTTATTTATATATAGCATTGGTAAGGATTTTGGAATAGATTGAAACTTTCGTTTAGAATGGAATAAGGAAAACTTAGTTTTATCAGTGTTTAAAGATAAGCTGTTTGCGAAAAGCCAGTTTGATATTTGTTCTAGTTCATTATTTGCTACTTGAAATAGAGAGATAATATTACTGTGAGAATAGAATAAAGTGGTGTCGTCTGCAAACATAATAGTAGACATAGTATTTGATGCTTTATATAGATCGTTGACATAGATTAAGAATAGCAACGGACCTAAGATGGAGCCTTGTGGAACCCCACATGATATTTTAAGTTTGTTTGTCTGAAAGCCATCATTAAGAGAAATAAACTGCTTTCGATCAGTTAAGTAACTGGTAAACCATTTATGGTATTCGTGGCTTATTCCATAATATTTTAGTTTTTCTAATAAAATCTGATGATTAACGGTGTCAAATGCTTTTGACAAGTCTAGGAATATACCTAAGGTGAACTTGTTATGAGAAGATGCTTCACTGATAACTTCAACAAGTTGCATAAGTGCATGTTCCGTTGAGTAATTTGATCGAAAACCATATTGGTTCCAATAAAGAAGATTGTTATCATACAAAAATGCAAATATCCTATTATACATGATACGTTCGAGGATTTTTGAAAATACAGGTAATACCGATATAGGTCGATAATTTGTAACCAGACTTTCATCTCCTGATTTAAAAATGGGTGTAATAATTGCAACTTTCATTTTATCTGGAAAAACACCTGTTTTAAGCGATTTGTTAAAGATATCTAATAAAACATCTTTAATAAGTTCGTAGCAGTCTTTGATTATAATAATTAGCTTTATAGAGATTAAGCTTTCTAAGTATTTAATTTTATCTAAACTTTTTTCATTAGTAAAAAACACTTATATCTAGCATAATTGCCATTCAAACTTTTGTAACAAACTTTTTTACATAGTTGTCATTCAAAAATGTGGTTTTTTATAAAATTAATTACTTCTTTTATTTAACCGCTTATTCACTTATTTAAAAGTTAAATAATGATAAAAGTCACTTAATGGAATTGACTAAGCGTACATAAAATAGCTTTACGCGTATGTAAATTGCTGGCAGCATAATGCCTACATATATATATATATATATATATATATATATATATATATATATATATATATATATATATATATATATATATATATATATATATATATATATATATATATATATATATATAGAGTTAGTAGAAAGTAAAAACTATGTGATTTTCACAACTTTAAGTTTCATGCTGTTGCAATCATCATGTAAAATACAAATATAGTTTGTTCGTTTAAAAAATTATATACAATTGAAATTATACAGAAAAAACCTATACGGATAAAACTTTTTTTTTATTGTTACGACCGCGTGTATCTAATCTTCAGGTTTGTGATCAATTGAAATTTATTTTCGTGACCACACTTGTAGATTAACTCTGTTTTTTTATTGAGTAGCTCTTCAGCATTTTTATAAAGCAAAATAATCAGTTTTTATATAAACATAGTAAACATTTTTTTGTTGTATTGTTGTAGGCGGGGGCTTTTTTTAGGATAGACCAAGTTAATTCTGGTGCTTCTTTCAGTTTTTCTCTAGTTTCCCATATATGTTTTGAGAGAGTGGTTGCATTTGAAAGTTTCTTATTTGAAAATGATTGCTTGTGGTTTGCATACCTCTTTTTCCATACTCCTTCTGATAAATCAATGTATGCTTTGCTGGGTGTGTTTGGGAAGATGTTATACATTTGTAAATGATGTTTGTCACTCTACAATTTTTATTCAGCGGGCAGATTTTTTTTTGCTTGCAATTGCAAGGGAGATTTTTAGTGATGTTAATGAAATTTATTTTTTTGTTGTGGCTTTTTATAATTTTTGAAATGTTGTTTGAGCAGCTGAAGCTAATTTTTGTAGCGTTTCGATTGAATAGTTTATGTAATGGGTTTGAAGGTGGGAAATGTTTTATCTACTAATTGCAAAAAGATT